CTGATCTGCATTTTTAAATAAAACCACTCTACTTGCTAAGCACCTATCAAAAACTAAAGTGAATTCTGATATTGTATTTCAAACAATAAGCTCTATGATTTTATTTTATCTAAGTCTAGGTTTACTCTATTCATTCTTTCCTTGCTATTTAATAGTAAACAAATCATTCTGAAATAACTGTTAAGTATGGAGTTGTGCCCCAAAATTTTAATTTTAATTAAGTAACATTATAAGAATGCAATAATTATCTCCCTTTCTTCCTCTACTACTTTTCCCTTTTATTTGCAAACTGCAGATTTTCTTTCTTTCTTTTTTTTTTGAGGTGGAGTCTCACTCTGTCACCCAGACTAGAGTGCTCCCGGCCACTGCAGCCTCGACCCACTGGGCTCCGTCGATCCTTCCACCTTAGCCTTCCAAGTAGCCAGAATTACAGGCTCCCGCTACCATACCTGGCTGATTTTTAAAAATTTATTGTAGAGATGAGGTCTCGCCAAGTTGCCCAGACTGGTCTCGAACCCATGGGCTCAGGCAATCCTCCCCCTTCGGCCCCCCAAAGTGCTGGGATTATAGGGGTGAGCCACTGCACCTGGCCCAAACAGCAGTTTTTAAAGGAAGGATACTTTGATCGTAGTCATATGTTGTCTATACTTTAAAAAAATATTTTATACATGAAAAAGGTTTAACTGAGCTTGTTAACTAAAAGAGTCTCTGAGGGGTGAACCCTGTATCTCCACATAAGGTATAATGAAGTACAAATGGCCATAAGTGACATCTCTGAACACATGCAACAACAAATCTGAAGAATTCAGCATGGCTGCAGTTATGTCTGACAGTGAGTGCTGGAATGACCATTCATGAACCTAGCTTAAATTTACCAGTAAAACAACCACTGTGTCACAAAAGCATAGTATTTCAGCATGAAAGTCCTGAAAATGTATAGTGATCTTATAATATCAGGAAATCACGAAAGTAAAAACAAGATAAATCCTACCTCTAACTGTGCAATTAACAACACTTACAGATGAGTTCAGGAAAAGTTTAAGAAAAGCAATTTAAATGAAGAATTCAAAGCAGGCGGAAGCGGTGGCTCACGGCTATAATTTATTCCTAGCACTTTGGGAGGCCCAGGTGAAATAAATGCCTAAGCCCACAGGTTCGAGACCAATCCAGGCAAGTTGGTAAGACCACATCTCTACAATAAATAAAAAAATTATCTGGGCATGGTGGCACATGCCTGTAGTTCCAGCTATTTGGAAGGCTGAGGCAGAAGGATCGCCTGAGCCCAGCAAGTCGAGGCTGTTGTGACTGTGAGTGTGCAGCCACACTCCAGCCTGGGAGGCAGAGTGAGACTTCAACTCAAAAAAAAAATAAGGGGCAACCCCTCTGGGTCCCCTCCCACTGTGGGAGCTTTTCTGTCCTCTTAATAAATGCTGCAAAAAAAAAAAAAAAGAATTCAAAACAGATAGAAGGACTAGTTCTGAGTACTGATGTAAGCGTCTATATACAAAACATTAAACATACAGGTTGAGCCGGGCTTGGCGGCTCAGCCTGTAATCCCGCGCCTTTGGGAGGCTGAGGTGAGTGGATTGCCTGAGCCCGTGGGTTTTGAGACCCGCCTGGGTAGGCGAGACCTCATCTCTACAATAAAAAAAAAAAAAAAAAAAAAAAATTAGCCGGGCGTGGTAGCGTGTGCCTGTAATTTCAGCTACTCGGAAGGCTGAGGTGGAAGGATCACCGGAGCTCAGCAGGTCGAGGCTACGGTGGCCAGGAGTGGCCACTGCACTCCAGTCTGGGCAACAGAGAGACTCCAACAAAAACAAAAAAACATACAGGTTGAGCATCCCTAATCTGAAAACCCAAAAAGCTCCAAAATCTGAAATGTCTTGAGCACCCACATGATGCTACAAATGAAAAATTCCACACCTGACCTCATGTGACAGGCTGCTGTCAAAGCTTTGTTTCATGCACAAAATGATTTAAAATATTGTATATAATTACTTTCAGGCTATATGTATAAGGTATATACAAAACAACTTAGGTTGTGTTTAGACCTAGGTCCCATCCCCAAAACATCTCATGATGTATATGCAAGTATTCTAAAATCCTAAAAAATCCAACATCTGAAACACTTTTGGTCCCAAGTATTATAGATAAGGGATACTCAAACTGTACCATCACAACACCCAGAACAACTTTCATCAGAGAAGGAACCCTGTGGCATGCCCAAAAAGACTCCAGCATATCAATAAATCTTTGGTAATCATAGATAAGGTCACAAATACATTCAGAACTGAATAAAAATCTGCTACTATTTTCAAATAAGTAGCAAAGCAACATTGATAAAGTATAATTCTGACACTGATGGCTCACCAGAAGAGAACTCCAAGTAGGGAGGAGGAACACTACCAAATAATTCTGCATATAAGCCTTCCCCTAACACATAAGAGAAAATATAGGCAAAGAAAAAGCCAAGGACTCTTAAAGGTGTCACTACTACCTTCAAAAGGAGAAATGGGAATTAAATCATTGGGGCTGGATGCAGGTGGCTCACACCTGTAAATTCAGCACTCTGGGAAGCCAAGGCTAGAGGATCACTCAAGGCCAGGGATTCAAGACCAGCTTGGGCAACATAGCAAGATCCTGACTCTACAAAAGAAAATTTTTTTTTAATTTGTTTCTTCCTGTCCCTGTCCCTTATCACACACAAGATGTTGACCAAACCAGCCCTTGGTAGACCATTATGCAAAACATCCCACACCACCTGTGTCCTTTGCTGTTGGGTAGCTTTGGACCACAACCTAGAAGAGTAGCTATGACCCAGGTGGTAAAACATACATTTTTATTAGTCCTTTCATAACATACATAATGCTACACAACTAGCATGAATTGTTCAAAAATACCAATGCCATTTAGAACATGTGGAGAATGATAAAATATATATACATTATTGATGTGTGAAAGACAAGGGAACTGCTCAAGATTAAAGAGACACGACAACCAAACATAATGCATGATTCTTGATTGAATGTGGTATTTTAAAAATTAAGCCATACGGAATAATTTTGGAACTAGAGAAATATTTGAATACAGACTATATATTATATACTATTGGCTTATATAAGTCTCTTGAATATGATAGTGGTATTATTATGTAGGAAAATGTCCTTGTTCTTAAGACATATATTCTACAATATTTAAAGGTGAAGTGCTATGTCTGTACTTGTTAACATTTCAAACAGATTTGAAAAAATAACCTGCATAATTAATGTTTGTATACGTAACCCTGAATTGTACTCCAAGTCTTTATAATAATTAAAAAAGAAAAAGTAAATATATGTAGAGAGAGAAATAAAACAAACTACATACATATTAATTATAAGTAAATAAATTACTTACAATTACATTATATATAGCATAATATATAATAATAGAAGGTCAAGCACAGTGGCTTACGCCTGTAATCACAACACCTTAGGAGGCCAAGGAGGGAGAATCACTTGAGACCAAGAGTTCAAGACTAGCCTCAGCAACATAGCAAGACCCCATCTCTACAAAAAAAAAATTTTTTTTTAATTAGTTGGGCATGGTGGCATGCACCTATAGTTAGTTACTTAGGAGACTGACAAGGATCACTTGAGGCCAAGAGTTCAAGGTTAAAATAAGCTATGATTATGCCACTACACTCGAGCTCCTGGGCAACAGAACAATACCATGTCTCCAAAAAAATAATTTTTTTACAAATAAAATAATGGAAAAGTGCCATTAAAAGGCAATTAAGGATGAAAAACCTAGGAACACCACAAAGGCTATCATTTATTACAGACTGACTCAGGGATGCACACACCACCATAAAAAGGAGTTAATCCATTCCAGTTACAAAGCTAGGTTTTGAACTCAGAAGCTCTGTCTCTCCCAAGGGTCAATTACAAGAAAAGCATGCAAAACTGAAAGGAAAAGAAAAAGACCAAACAAACAAAAACAAAACGGCACAGGCACCTGAATATAAGACAGATTTGATTTATACATAAAGACCAAGTTTTATGACTTCAGAATAGACAGTATTTGTACAGCTATTTAATTAATTCTGAATTAATACAGTTTATCAAGAAAACAAAACTAAAAGGAGAAGGTCTGTACTGACTATCAAAATTTATAAACACATTATGGAATACAAGAGTCAACATCAAATTTTCAGTTTCCCCACTGTCAACAAATCATTATATGTCCAAACCAAGAGTCGATAAAGTATAGTCAAACATGGCCTGCTTTCATAAATAAAACAAACATTTGTAAATAAAATGATTTTGTAACTGGAATAGTCATGCCCATTCATTTGTGTATGGTCTATGGCTGCTTTCCTGGCACAATGGCAGAGTTGAGTCGTTATGATAAAGACAGTATGATCCACAAAATCTAAAATATTTATTTTCTGACCCTTTGCAGAAAAAGTTTGCAGGCCCTTGGTCTAAATGATGCCATACAGTCACAAATGGTAGAATAAAGAGCCTGTTCATGTCAGTACTATTTAATCTTTACTATAAACTCTACCTGATTTATCTTCCTTTGTAATTAGTGTCAGTAAGTGTTAATGAGTTTTTTAATTTCCACAAATATGTTCACATTTCTGTTATTCTCCAGAGAATAAGTCTTACTTCAACTGCCTAGTAATTTATCCTTCACATCATTATTATAACCAAATCCTAATTAAGGCACATTTGCAATTATCCCCATAAATACTTATTCTCCAATTTTCTACAACCTACAAAGATATAGACAAGCAAAGTTGAATCCAGAGACAAGTGCTGCTATGACTAAATATTCCTAATACCCTACTCATGTCGAACAACTCCAAGTGCCATTTAGGAACAAAAGCATCAGGATCACCTGACTGCTTATCAGAAACACAAATTCATGGGCCCCATTCCAGACCTACCAGGTGATTCCTATGCACATTAAAAGTTTGAAAGCCACTGCACCAAAACAGAGTTTATATTACTTACCTTGAGTGTGAAAAGGCTGATTCGGCCAGGCAGTTTATAAAACAGCCCCTCTCCTCCTCTTGAATTGGAATGCAGCATGGCATTGAGGCACGCAAGAGGGGATGTCCCACTATAAACGAAAGAATGATTATGGTCATACAAATCCATGTCTATTTACTCAAAGACCTAAACTCATTCTTAAAGTGAGAAGAAGCCAGGAGTGGTGTCTCACGTCTGTAATCCCAGTACTTTATGAGGCCAAGGTGAGAGGACTGCCTGAGCCCAGGGGTTTGAGATCAACCTGGGCAACTTGGTGAGATCTTGTCTCTAAAATAAATTTCTAAAAACTAGCTGGGCATGGTGGCACATGCCTGTAGTTACAGCTACTTGGAAGGCTGAGGTGGAAGGATCAGCTGAGCCCAGGAGGTCAAGGTTATAGTGGCCGCCAGGGTGCCACCACACTCCAGCATGGGGAACAGAATGTGACTCCGACTCAAAAAAAAGAAAAAAAAGAGAAGAAATGAAGCAAGAAATACAGAAGACCTCATGACAGCAGTTTCACTGCAAAAGTAGTAAAAAAAAAATAACCAAATGAAAATTAGCTGGGCATTGTGGCACATGCCTGTAGTCCCAGCTATCTGAGAGGCTGAGGCAGGACTGCCTGAGCCCAGAAGGTCGAGCGAGGCTGAGGTGGTCGTGAGTGTGTCACTATACTCCATCCTGGGCAAAAAGTGAGACTCCAGCTTAAAAAAAAAAAGTGAGTTTCCTAGCTGCTTGCTACATTTTAACCTACATATCATGCTCAGAAACTGCCATAGAATATGATCATCATAAAAACCACAGAATCTATAGTGCTATCCCAATATAAAACAAGCACACCTTTTTACCTGTTAAATATTTCCTAATAAGCACATAAAAAGGAAGAGTATTTCATTAGTCTTTTTCTCTGCTGGGAGGGGAGGAGTTTTATTCTACATCCACCCAGGAACAATCATTTAAATCTGAATGTAGGCCGGCCAGGTGGCTCAGCCTGTAATCCCAGCACTTTGAGAGGCCGAGTCAAGTGGACTGCCTGAGCTCACGGGTTCGAGACTACCCCGGGGCAACTTGGTGAGACCTATCCCTAAAATAAATAAAAAATTAGCCAGGCATGGTAGGACGGGTCTGTAGTTCTGGCTATTTGGAAGGCTGAGGTGGAAGGATCACCGGAGCCCAGCAGGTCGATGCTGGGGTCGCCGTGAACATGCCACTGCACTCCAGTCTGGGCAATGGAGTTGGAGACTCCAACTCAAATAAATAAATAAATAAATAAACCTGAATGTAAAAAGTGAGTCAAGTGGAAAGTGGATTTGGTTTCCAGTAACGAATAAACATTAAACTAAAAAGATGGCAGATTAAGTTGTTTCACAGTCTCTGCCACAACAATGGGTTACAAAACACTGACAATTCATGAGATAGAAGGTACTGATTGAATCTTAAAACATAAAAGCTGTCAAAAGTACAGACAAGTATGCACTACTGATATTAATGGAGTTTGGCACCAGCATATTAGTGCTAGGATTCACCTGTGCACCTTTCTCTTTCCCCATGTTAAAAAATATATATAAATATCTTACATAAAGTCTCTTAGCATTTTTCAGAACTAGAGGGCCTAACTTATGCAGTGTTAAAAATAAATTCTGAGCCTAAAAAAGCTATTTAAAAAAACCTATTACTTATTCTGCCTTGGAACACACTGGATGCTAAAAAATTTTTCACCAAGAACCAATCTCTAAAAGAAACCTTGTGTAGAATAGTCTGGAGTATCAAGTGGGTGTGCTAGCATCTCTGCTACAAGGGGAACAGCATGCTGGCAGAGTCCTTCTGTGACTCCTACACACTATACCTCTGTCTACAAATTACAGAGCAGCTCACTCATCACAAGCCACCACGACTGCTTCCAAATTCCTACAAGAGGCAGAAACAAGTTAAAGTTCTCAATTCCATCTGTCCCCAAAAGTCTAATTTACCTTCTATGGGCACAGTGGTCCAACAGCAGAGCAAACAGCAGCACGATGGAAAATAGCCCATAAAAACAAAAATAAAGTATAATTATTATACTACACAGTGCATAAACAAGAGTCCAATAAATGTGATTCAGACAATCCTAATATTTCCTCCCCACAAAACATCAACTTGTGAATGAACTGACATCTGAAAAGTGAGGACCTTTTGACTCTAAAAGGTTAAATTAAAGCAGCTGAAGTCTGATCAGCAAAAACATGCCATTAGTTCTGAGTCCCAGGAAGGGACTGTGTTGTGCTCTCCTCTTTCCTCACTTAAATAAATGTTTATTTAGCTGGGTGCGGTGGCTCATGCCTGTAATCCCAGCACTTTGGGAGGTTTAGGCTCAGGCAAAAGGATCACCTAGGCCCAGCAGGTCAAGGCTGTGGTGACCATGAGCATGCCACTGCACTGCACTCCAGCCTAGGCGACAGAGTGAAACGCTGACTCAGATGGATGGATGGAAGGAAGGAAGGAAGGATAAGATAGAAAGATAAATAAATAAATGTTTATTTAAAGAGTTTCAGGTTAGAGTGAGGAAAGGTAAAGGTTAAGCCAATGGTTTTTATGCCTGTTATTCCTTCCATGCTTCTAACTTGTTGCTTCTCTAGGAAAACAGCATTAGGAGTTTACAAAATCACAATCATCTCAAAATTTAGTACAGTCATATCACAAACAGCTAGAATTGGTGGGGGGGAAAAACCTGTGGGTTTTATGCTGAGATCACCTTTCTTTTATCCTAAAACAAAGGACTTCAGAGATGAGACACAGAGAAAAAGGGTAGTTTTAAGCACAATAGAGGCTGTCAGGGTCTCCCCCTTCTCTTACTGAAACTTGCAAAACAGCATAAGAGAAAATGTGCTCTACTTATACAAAAAACAAGCTCTATGTCATGATTTAAGGGAGAGCAAGGATGGAAAAAGCCACTGCACCTCTAATAAAAAAACGATGTTCACCCGCTCCCTCCACTCAGAGGATACACAACATGAGAGATGGGAGGTTCAGTCTCACATCAGACATACAAACACAGACAGACATACAGGTAGGCTTATTCACACCACTCCACAGCTATGGAAAGGCATGTGTCCTATGGAACCCTCACGGTAAGCAACAAGAGCAATACAAACCTCATTTCCTTGAGTCCTTCGGCCTCTATAACCTGCAGAATCTGTTTTGGTGTCATTGGAGCATCTGAGTAGTTTTCTAGCACCTGAAAAAACAGAAATGTTCCAATTTCAGTGTGCAATTTCCATTTGCACCCAACAATCTATATATCGTGCTACAGTTCTGCTGTGAGGTACCAATAGTGACAGTTGTTTTTTCACAGTTAAAATTACTCTGAAAAACTGCAGCTCTCTTGACAATAGCAAAAACATGGAACCAACCACATTGCCCACTGAAGCTGGACTGGATTAAAAAAATGTGTTACATAAACACAACAGAATAATATGCAGCCATAAAGAAGGACAAACACATGGACTTCACCAGCAACTTGGATGGATTTAGAGCCGATCATACTCAGTGATCTATCACAGAAACAAAGAACAGAGTACCATATGTTCTCACTCATAAGCGGACCTTGAACAATTTTCATAATAGTATAATAAAGGGATTGGCAGTAGTGGGAAACTGCCAGGAGAGGGGGGCTGGGATAGGCAGTTGAATGAAACTGCTAGGGGAGGGAGGGGCACATGTCATCAACAAGGGTACTTGCATAATCAATACTTATAAACCTAACCCTGAACTGTACCCTACATCTTTAAAATAGAATAAAATAAATTACTCTGAAAACCAAATTACACATATCTAGTTACTGCAATTAGCTGAAATGTTCTACCTCTCAATTCTAAGGACACACATTTTTTTTTTTTGAGTTGGAGTCTCACTCTGTCACCCAGACTCGGAGTGCAGTGGCCGCTCCCGGCCACCGCAGCCTCGACCCGCTGGGCTCGGGCGATCCTTCCGCCTCAGCCTTCCGAGTAGCCGGAATTACAGGCATGCGCTACCACGCCCAGCTGTTTTTTTGATTTATTGTAGAGATGAGGTCTCGCTGCCCAGACAGGTCTCGAACCCGCGAGCTCAGGTATTCCACTCACCTCAGCCTCCCAAAGGCGCGGGATTACAGGCTGCACTACCGAGCCCAGCTGACACACATCTTCTTAGCAAATGTGTGATAGCAAGCAAGACCTTAGCAACACCAGTTACTGTTTAACTTGATGTTGTTGATACTGCTAAACCACAGAATACACAGGGCTGGTGCAATAAATTATAAGGCAAAAATGCATTCAAGTTTTCTTTCCCAAGGAAGTTTGATTACTACTCAGATTTTTAGACGGTGCTTTTTGCCAGTGTGTTTGTGAAGTCTTGGTGTTAACTGCCACAGACACTTTGCCATTTGGCAACATGATTCTGTGTGACTGAGGCAAGCAAAACAATGTAAAACAGAATGTCCTGTTGATGTCAGCATCATCTATAACTAAGTCATGGCAGTATTTTCTGAGTGTGCAATTGTAGTTCTCTCACTGTAGGTTGCTTGAGAAATGTTATTCTTCTGAGAGAACTTTTTCTACCTGTGCAGCAACTGAGGTTACTCCAAATCAAACATCTTGCAGTCCTACTGTACCAAACAAAATGTAAAGCACGAAATCTCCTAGGACTGCTGCTGAAGGTATTCTCTATGGAAGAACAGAAGCCCTGCACACTAAACAAAGTCAAAGCTTGGAGAAGGTACTAAAATAAAACTCTCACACACATTTATTGCAGCACTATTCACAATAGCAAAATCATGGAACCAACCATACTGCCCACTCAAAGTAGACTGGATTTAAAAAGGTGGTACATAGTCGGGCTCGGTGGCTCAGCCTGTAATCCCGTGCCTTTGGGAGGCTGAGGTGAGTGGATTGCCTGAGCCTGTGGGT